GAACCTGGTTTGAAGATCGCACCGGCTCGGGTTTAACTTGTTTATCCCCTCCGCGATATCTCTGAAGATTTGAAAGGGGTTGCCCGTTAAGGAGGTTTCGCAAGGAATTATCTTCCTCATTGATACTTCTGGCAAGAAGTCTTTGGACCAAGAACGCACCACCAATAAAAATTCAGAATCAAGAGGCAGACCAGTTGCATAGTTGGTTGAGAATTCCCTACAACACGAGCTGCGTCCGATCTCATGGCTCATCGTCAGCAAACATGGCAGCGCTGCAACCGAGGTTGTCGACATAGCCGTTTATGTAGACTAGGAAGAGCAACAGTCGTAAGACTGAACCTTGGGGACACCACTTAGAACGGGATAAGGGTGCAATTTTAGGCATCGATGTACACAGTGTGTGATCTGCCTCTAAGGGGCGTTTTCAATCGCCTTCTTGTAGTGAGCTTAGATAAATTCAACTCAACCATTGTCGTCCAGTACGCGATTCCATTGCTAGGCCGAGAGCAATATACTGTAAGGCAAGGATTAACGCTGTTCGAAGTCGTGTTGGAGTCCTGGGAAAAGGCGGTTCTCCTCCAGGAACTCCTCTGTTGCATTCTTAAGTATGGTCTCCATAATTTTACAGCAAATAGATGTTGAGCTGATTGGCCGATAGTTGTTAATATTAGTCCCAGCCTTGTAGATATTTGCTGTCCGCCATTCGGATGGCAATATACCTAAATCAAAAGGCGAATGAAAAGTATGCACTGGTGGGTTGCAGAACTCACTTGCCGCTTCTCTCAAGAGTTTGGCCGGCGTCTTGCTCAGACCCGATGACTTTGGTTATTTGAGCTTCTGCAGTCCTCTTTCTACGACTAATGGAGCGGTGTTTACATCAGTAGATTTAACATCGTAAGTCTGAAACTCATTTTCTCAAGTGAGAAGTGAAACAAACAATCGACAAAAGGGTTCACATTTATTGCCAATTTCAATGGCTTTTACACCATTATCGTCTTTAAGTAGTGTAACAGGGTCCTTTTTAGTCGACTATAAATATAGTGACATAATATCAAGGGCTTCTCTTTAGCCTGTCGGATAATTCAAGATTCATAGTTTTTAAAAGTAGGATTAATTTTTGACCGCATTTCTTCGGCGGCCAATTTTTACGGGTTGTTCTGGTGACCCAGTTGCCCTGAATATTTGGTTAAATCTATCTTAAGTGATCAAGAGTCGGCCCCTGTATCTTCCTTGAGAAAATGGGCATAATTTACGGAGATCAGTTCACATTTAATCGTGCCAAATCTACCTTCTATACATTTCGCTGGCTTTCCGTTTTCTTACGCCGTTAGAAATAGGGTGGGGGGGGGAGTGATCACATAGTGGCGTTGTGTGGTCACCCTACGCAGATGCAATATAATAAACATCGTAAAATAGTCTAAAATGATAGGGACTTCCGCAAGATCTATCGCATACCTTTATTTAAGTCACTTTCAGTCACTTCTTAGGGGAAGAAGGCTCTCGCCCTTGAGCTCCCTATTCCTATCCAGAGATTGTAAAAGAGTTCAACCTTAACGACAGTACATAAAACAAATGTAGGCTTAACATCAACGATAGGTGTGAGCCAGTTGCAAACTGCTGCTACTGACATTACGTTCATCGCATCTATCCTAGTTTCTCAGCAAATGGAAATCCAGTTTGCGTTTATATGTGTCAACAGTATCTGAGTCAACAGTATCAGGGAGTCCGTTCCACACTTCGACGACCCTCTGCGAGAAGGCGCTCTGTCGAACGTCCATATGCACCGGCTTCCTCTGCAGTTTAAACGGATGCCCTCGCAGATGATCCGTCCGAACAAATTCGAAGAATTTTATCAAATTCTAAGGCGCACGCACGGCCTCTGACAATTCGGCGGGTCTGAATGAGGTCACCGCGGAGTTGCCTGTAATTGGGAGGGAATAAATCAAGTTCAGTCAATCTGCCTTCATAAGGCAGAGGACCAAGGTTTTTGAGCATCTTCGTAGCCCTTGCCTGCACTCGTCCCAGGTGCATACACTAAGGTGAGGTAAACGAATTATCCGACTGTCAAAACAAAAATAAAACGTTGTTTAATTTGTATGTGCCTCAGAAGCACTACCCAAAGAGAGTTAGTCCTAAATTTAATGGTATGACACGGTCAATGCATGGAACAATGCCTATGTGAGTGGCTAGATATCGAGTAGAAGTAGGAAATTGTTTTATACGAATTTGACACGCTTGTTGGCGATGTATCATTTTGCGTGTAATACTTTTGATGAAAATATCCTCAAATTTTAAATTAGAAGTTTTTAGAAAAAGTGTGAGCTCAGAACGAAGCCTCCAATAAAATTTCTGAACCTTATCTCCAGGACGAGTTAAGGCTACACGAATCTCAAAAAAATCTACGGAAGAAAAACACTGCACGATTGCATATGGATACACAGAGTGGGCAGATCTGAGAGAACGGTGTTTCACGATAATACACCCGGAGTGGATTTCTAACGTTAGACATACAGTGATGTCAACAATGACTTCGACACATCAGAACACAGCCCTATCGAGAGTTAGCAGTGACCGAAATGGAGCGGTTTTCAGCGTGCGCTTCAACATGACCCAAAATATTTGTGTGCGAAATGGGCTAAATGGGACATCAGGTTTTGTGAAGAACACCACACATGGACTGAGAAGATCGAAATGTATGAATATCGATCGCAACACACAAACCCCACGGTGTTCTTCTCCATGCCATCGAGAAAATAGCATCAGGAAAAAGTTGAGTGGGCCAATATTAAGGTAAGGGCATAGTTTTTGAGTAAAAGCAAATAAATATTTGGCGATCTGATATCAATTCCAAAGAAATGTTCATCTGGAAGCAAAGAAAGGAGACTAATTTGGTGTGTATGATGAGGCAGGAGGTATGATCGAAGAATCATGAACGTTGGACGGACGAATAACAGCAGAGTCTCAAAAGTTAAGTGTCTTAGGAAATTTTCATTTAGAGAATGGTTAGACTTGTTAATTTAACATAAATGGGAAGCAATATTTGAGAACAGATAAGAAAAACATGGCATAAGGTCCTAATTTAATTCCAGAAAGTTAGAGATTATGAGAAATAAAACCATACCGCCATATAGTTTGCGTTACTTAAACGTACTTACTTGATGGTGAAACATTCAGACATAGAGTGCCTTAAAAACATTGGTTACGGTAGCGTTTCAGATCCAATAACCGTTTACAGACATTTGGAAGGCGAGAATTCCATTTTAGGCTTCACGCGAAGAGACGAAGAAGTGTAATAAGGATTTTTTCCGAGAAATGTAGGACTGTAGACGTTGATAAAGAATATATGCATTTTAGATCATTAGCATAAATGAAAGATAAAGTGTGTAATTGTCAATTATCGGGCATTCATATAAAGCAAGAAGAGTATCCAGTAGGATATCTTGGAAGACAGCGTTTATAATGAGGCTCTAGTTTAAAAATGCGAACCCTATGAAGACCTTTTGTTTCTGGTGAGATACTTATGGTATAATGAAGTCAATGAGAGGATTACGAAGCCCTAGAGTTCACCTTTAACCAAAGAATAGCCACAGAGGCACCTTATCAAAGGCTTTACTAGGATCAAAATATACTACAGCCCCAGACAGATGACGTTATGGGCTTGACTAGTACATCTGTATATTCCACATTAACACTTTACCGCTAAGGTCGGAATGAAAAAGGCTCGGCTTATTGTG